AGTTGATACACACACGCAAACAAATATATAAAGTTGGTCAGTGGATGTGCAACGGTCTTAAACTCAGTCAGAGAAAAACGCAACTTGTGCCCACAGGAACCAGGCAACATACCAAGATAGGTTAGAGTTTAATGCAATCATTCTTAGGTGGCGAGAAGATCAAATTTTGTAATTTAGTTAACAACTTCGCACGTTCCATTTCGCACGTAATGTCTACACACGGAACGACATCTTTCGCCAATCTCTAGACTGGTAGGTAGACCCAATTAAAACTCACCTGACCGTAGTTGATCTTCTCTTCTTGATGCAACTCTTGGCAAACATCTTTCACGCAGGTACTTTTGTGCACATCCTTTAACCCATTTTGAACATCATTACCAAAGTATTCTAAATAATTTTGTTGTTCATCGTCAAGCAATATAGTTCTATAAATATTGGAGTGAAATGATCATATTTTTCAGCCCCAACAATCAATTTGGCTTCCCGGTTTTTGGTTGAAAGAATAAACGCATGACTTGCATGAAAGGCACAACAATCAGCCAACCTGAACTTCTAATCAATTTAAATTTCTACAGTTGCAAAGTACAATTGCTAAACTGAGTTTTGATCGAGAATTGACAAATTTGATTTAACAATGAAACCAAGATATGTTGCTTTGGAACAAATCTTTATTTCCAAACAATTAATGATAACTGAATTAATATTAATGTTTGAAAAATGTTGCCTCGTGTCAACTGAAAATAAATGTCTTCGATAGGTTGATCTTGAGTTTATTTTTTGCTATCCAATTATCGATTTCAGACAAACAACTTATTAGGGTTTGAAACACAGACAAGGGTCCAGAGTTAACAACTTAAAACTAAGTTGTTGACTAATTTACATAATAAGCATGGCCAATCAAATCTTAATGATGATATTCTATTACTTAAATACATCTGATGTGTAGATTAAAAATAATAACGATATAAGAAACAATCCTTGCGGCAAACCCGATGTAGTAATCTGAATCGTTGACAAGTAATCCATCATTGAACAAAACCTGCTGTGTTTGATACATCAAATGTGACCGAAACCATGAATGGATCACTCTTGAAAAGGATAAAATGGTAGCAATACGTTTCAAAAGAATCTCGTGATCAACGTAGTCAAAGGAAGCACTCGTGTTTTCGTACAAAATTGACATAACATAACAACATCCAGCAGAGCCGTCTCAGAAACATGATGTTGTTTATACCCCTAACTTTACTTCAAATGCTTTATTAGTTTTCTAGAAACAAATTTTTTCATTAATTTGAACATAAAGGAAAGATCTGATACAGGCCTGTAATTGTTCAAATCATCTCTACCCATGTCTTATTTCTTTAACAGAATGATTATTGCATGTTTAAACTACGCAGAAATTAAGCCTGGTCTAAAATATAAATTGTGAAAATTAATTAAAAATTTGGAGAATTAGCCAAAATGTTTTTTAAATGTGAGTTGGCAGACAATCTAAAGAGCAACTGGCTGAGGGAGAATTCAAAACCGCTTTCACTATCTCACCTTTAGTCAACACCGAAGATGTTGATAATGAATAATATTAATTTCAGTGAAACTAGAACATCTAGCCTCTCTTGTTAGATTTTAACTTTAACATTTCTTTTTGGAAGTATTGGGGTATAAATCGGACAACCCCCTTGAAACATAAAAAAACTTTTATGATAAAAAGAATTATCTGTATACAACAACTTGCTAATAAAGCTTTATGAACGTTTTGGAATATTACTATTTTCAGAAAAGATTCCTTTCTAATACTATTTTTTTCAAAAATACATGAAACGTTTTGTCTTCAGGCATTAACCCATATTTCTATTTAACGTTTCTTTGTACGTCAACATTTAAAATCAAACCATGACGTTGACAGATCACTTCCACCATATGACGAGGTGCAACAAGAACAATAATTCTTGTTATTTTTATTTCAAGTAAATTATTCAATTCATCAAAATTTTCTCTTAGATTTGAACAAGATTTACCTATAGGAAAATCCAGAAGCAAGCATGCAAATCTATTAGTATTCACGATTTCCCATGAACTATTTGTTTCTTTACTATTGACTTATTGACCATCAAATGCACTCAATGAAGAAAATGATCCGAAAAATGACCATAGAGATAAGGTTTAACCTTGTAAACAGGATACGTCGTAGAATTAACAATCAAGTACATCACCCCACCCAGTTCCTGTGCCGGTTCAAAGATTATAGTCACCAAGTTCAAAGTTCAAAAACAATTAATAAAGCAGCATGAGGATCATACTTTTTTCCGCTTTAGTTATTTTCCTGTTTAATTTGTCGATTTTTCTAACGTTAGATCTTAAATCATTTTCGAGTTTCTTGAGTTCAAAACCAAATTTTTTATTTATTTTAAGCATGATGGAACAATTAAGCATGATAAAACAAAAAAGCTTTAGTCTGTATTCCTATGCCATCTTCAGTGTTCGAATTAATACATTGTTTATGTGGCTGTATGCTTAAGTATATATATACTGTGTTTCTACAATGTTAGTTCTTTGTTTAATGTGAATACTTAACGGTCATATAATTAGTTATCACGATATTCAACTTTTACGTGTCATCATTACCGATGAGTCCTCTGTTTCTAAATTTATTAGTTAAAAGAATTTTAATTCCACGTTGTTGAATATTTATTATCGGATGTCCTTGTTTTCTATGAGTATTGATTCGGCTAGTCGTAAATTATAATGATTGTTATTGTAATGTAAGATTTCAACGTTGTTGTCAAAGATTTGTCTAGTAATATTAGTTTTTGTGTTTCTCTTTCACGTGATTCTTTATAGTGCCAGTTTCTACGTGCATCGTGAGTCTTTTTGATAGCTTGGTCGCTGTCAAACGAATATTTTCAGAATTATGATGCCTACACACACCAATGTTACATTTGAACGTATATATTACAATATGTTATATATATATATTTTTATATTTTGTTCATATATATATGTATATATATATGTATATATAATATATAATATATATATAATATATATATATAATATATATATATATATATATATATATATATTTCCGAGGTCAATATAGTTTTGTCTGGTGTGCCCCAAGGTAAGGTTCTGGGTCCTGTCATGTTTCTTTTGTATACATCTGAAGTATTCAAAGTAATCGAATCATTTAGTTTCTCATATCATCCATTTGCGGATGACATACAAATCATTGTTACCAGTAAGCCTGGTACTTTCCGGGTCGAATTGGACAGATTGGTTGAATGTTTATCAAGGGTTGATTTGTGGATGCAAAACTATGCTCTTAAACTGAATCAGAGTAAAACGAAACTTTGCCGGTAGGTACGTGGCAACAGCTTTTGAAGCTAGAAACTGATTCAATCATTATCAAAAACAGTGTCATCCCGTTTTGCCAAAAAGCTACTAGTCTTGGATTTATTCTAGATTCCAATTTGTCAATAAAAATCACATTACAATGCTTTCCGTTGAATGCATGTACCAAATAAGAAAGCTCAATCAAATACGTAGATCTCTTGACACTATGTTGCACTCTGGTTCATGCCTTCGTGCACTCACGAATTGATTATTGTAATAGTCTGTTTTACGAATTACCTGATAAACATTTAGCTGTATTACAGTCATTGCAGAATCTTGTTGCAAAGGTTGTTGTCGGCGGTTTAAAATATGCTCATGTATCACCAACACTGAAACAACTGCCCTGGCTAACCATAAAAAAGGATAATCTTCAAAATATCAACTCTAGTCTACAAGTCAATAAATCGTCTTGCACCATCTTATTTGTTAGAAATATTTGCAAAGAAGTTGGCACCTCCTTCTAGAACGCATCTGAGGTCTCATGATCTGAACCTGCTGCTAGTCCCAGTTTCGTATCTTCATATGGGGTCTCGTAACATCGCCGTCTTGGGACCGTCTGTTTGGACTAATTTCCCTGCCTTTCTAAGAGATCCGGAGTTGAACCTGTTTGGTTTTAAAAGAAAACTGAAAATTTACTTATTTTCATCGTAATTCATTGAACTGACTTGTTTTAGTTATAACGGAGTGATTTATTTTGTTTATTAGGCCATGTTAGATTAAGGAAATAATGAAGACTGTGTTCTTTTATTATAATTTTTTCGTTGAAATGCACTGATAACCCTTTTTTTTTGTTGAATATGCTATGATATTTTTTTATAACGCTTTTGAGATCCTTTGAATTAGCGCTTTATTAAATTTTTCTGTTCTATTATGCATAAAACAAACACAAATTTCGGTATTGAACTAAAGAAACTTGAAAATGATTTAAGATCAACTGTTAGAAAAATCGAAAAGTTAAATTGGAAGTTAACTAACGCCGAACATGCTGTGATTTTCATCAATGTTTGCATATATATTATATATATATACAAATTTATTTTTTTATTTAAACATATGTATATATATACATATACGTATATATATATATATTTATATATATATATATACATATTTTTATTAATTAATTAATTTATTTTTTTTAATTGAAGCAAAGTTTTTGTTCAAACACACAAGTTTATTTATTTATTTATTTTATTTCACAAAACCAGAGGGCTAAATAAACCACTTATCCGGTAAGAAAAATGAAAAAAAAATGTTCGAAAAATGACTAAACCGTCCTGTTAAAAATATGTTCAATACATATGTACACAAGTATTTATGCCTTAAAGTAAAAAGTGTAGCAAGTAATAAATCAAGTTGCAAACGCAATATACCACGTTCCTTTTGACAAGATCAATAAAAATTTTAGCATTTCAATGTCCGAAATAATTTATTAAGACAAGTTCAATGAGTGAGTTCAATAACAACATTTTCGCAGATACAGCGGTTGATAAATGTTTGCCGATTAACTCAATAATTTTAGCCGAGAGCGTTATTTATAATCATTGTTCGGTGTTAGTCAGGATCGTTAAGTTGTGCTGCAAGTGCTGTAGAGTAGATGTAGGGCAAATTTACGACACGTTATCTTGAGTCGTGAGGTCTTCAACATGTAGAATTAGCATAAAATTTAATGAAGCATTGCTATGAGAATGAAGTGTAAAAACGCTTGCACCCGTTCGGACCTTCTTCACTGACTGCCAGGATAATCTGGCCACATCACTTGCCAGACGCTGCACTTGTGGAAATCAATGTTGACGGTTGTTGTTTTTTTTTACTAAGGATTGATTATTAGGTTCTGTTCATGCATGCATATACGTACATTTTTTGTAATTCATGACAAGTGTACGACAAAAACGTGCAGGTTGTTGATTGTTTATGTTAAACATTTGAAAATAAATTTGTAGCGTAAAATGTTGTTTAACGATGCTGGCAAGGTAACAAAACTAACTTTACATAACATTTACCCTATTATATGATAACATTAACATTACTTTCAGCTTTGATATTTTTTTTACCATTAAACCATTTCTAAAATTTTAATTACTCATAACATATAATTATTAGTATTTTATTAATTTTTTATAATTTATATTTGTATATATTTTCGTATATTTTATTGGGTTTAAAATTGTCAAATCAATTATTTATTTATGACTATGTACAAAATGGCTTCTTCTTAATTATATTAATTCATTTAATTTTTATTAATTTAATCAGTTTTTTTATTTGCTTTCCAAGTAGTTTTTGGGGTTTTTTGATTTTTGTTCGATTTTTTGGCACTTGCTTCTCTCGTAATGCTTTAAATGCTACTGACAGAAATTGATTTCTTTTTTTAATAATAAAAAAAAATAATATAAATGAAACTTAAGGGAACCAGTTAAAAACATTGAAACTTTAAATGTTCATATTATTTTTAAAGGTTGATTCGAAACTCATGAAATGCACAATTCATCCCTTAACTGACATTATATAAATTATAAGGTTAACTAATTGACGAAAAAGCATTCCCCTTTGTAAGGACAGATAAAAAACATTTTATAAACCAACAAACTAGTTCGCAAAACTAATAAAAAAATGAAAACCATATGTGTAATTGTTTAAAAATTTTGCTGATGAATGAAACGGAAAATCGTCAGCAAACTAAAATTAAAAAAAACCTTTACAAAGCTTTTTTATTAGTTTTAAATTGTCAATATTTAACAGTGCTTTCAAATACATTCTCGCAACTTTGCACGTGCAGTTCAAATGTTTTTTGCGTCTGTCAGAAGCAATTTTTTTAAATGATAAAAACATTCGAGTTTGTTTTGCTTATCTTGATTCAAGTCAACGTCACAGTTCATTAAAAATGATCGACAAAAAACAATAGAAAACTAAAAAGTATATTTCTTCATAATTTAATATATCGTTATTGAATGAAAATGTTCGACGAGTAAGTAAAAATAGAAATGAAATGAAAGAACAAGCAACACTCACCGTAGTCAGCCCGGGACATCCTCAAATTCAGTTCGCCCACAATTCAATTCGAAACAATTACATTTAATTCTAAATTTATCTTATTATTATTTGAGCCAAAACAAAAAATAACGGATGATTATTTAAAAAGTCTTTTCGTGGTATAAACAGGAACATTTTTTGAAGTTATAAATTTGGGCCACAAATTCAGTAAGAGAGTTTCTGCTTCAATTATTTCCTGCATGACGTGTTTCATGTAGCACATAACAACGATAACCTTCCGTGCACCCATCTATTTCTCTGTCCATATGAAGTGCGCACTATATCCGTCAGAGGCGCCTGTACATTCGGCTTGTGCGCTCTACTTACATGCATCAAAAAATATTTTTGCATGTTTCTACGAACAAACACAAACACACACACACACACACACACATATAAATATATATATATATATATGTGTGTGTTAATATATTAATATATATATATATATATATATATACATATATATATTAATTTATTTTTTTTATTTGCGATGTCTATGGTTTACTCAAAGTGAATATTTAGTTTTACAATCTTTCGAATAAGACCCAGAGTTAACAAACGTAGGCCAAATTAAAATGTGGGCTTATAAATGCAAGTTCCGTTGTCAACAAGGCCGCTCTTCTGAACGACGTCATATGTGAGGAAAAAATTGACATCCTTGTCATCACCGAAACCCTGTTACTATCCATGCCCCACGGGTTGTTTTACAAAGTTTGGCTCCTTTGGGTTACTCAGTTTGTCTATTTCATTGTGGTACTTCCAATGACAAACGTGGTGGCGGGTTGGCTGTCGTGTACAACAACTTACTGAGGGCAATACCCATCAACAATAGTACAATTTTTTGCAATTTTGAAATCCTCTCAGTAAAATTCAACACTTTTTCTTTGTCATTATTTTTTTATTATTCTATAAAAATCAAGATCTGACAGACACAGAAATTGTTACAGCATGAAAGGCAGTAGTACAAAATTAAACGAATAAATAAAACGGAGAAAGAAAAATGTTTAAACATGAAAAATAAAATAAATTAGATTAAAATAAATGATAAATAATAATAATAAAATAAATAAAAGAAAAAAAAATAAATTGACAATAAAATGAGTTAATGGCATAAAAACGCCAATTTTATAGACTAGATAATGACTTAGTGAGGTAATCAATAAATAAAAACCAGTTGTATGAATGATAAAGTTTTATCGAGTGTTAATATGTTTGAAGTGTATTGTGATATGTATATCTTTTCCTGATATGTAGATTGGGTGGAGACTTGATAGTTATGGTTGCGTTGACGAAGGTTATGCGTTATAGTTTTATTTGGGGGTAGTAGATGATGGATGACGTGGTTGTTGTTATTTTCTAATTTCTTGAACAGTCTTGAATCGAGTGTGTTGAATATCTGAGTGACGGTAGGATATGATGCAGGTAGATAATTGAAGCAGAATAGTTTTTTGATGAGAGATTGTAGTTGCTGAAGTTGTTGTGTAGCAAAACCAGACCAGGAGGGAGCTTCTCATCAATTTACAAGCCACCCGGTCCTGTTTCAACAAGCTTTCTTGATGATTTTACTGATCATCTAGATTTCATCGTTGGCCATAATCTACCGTTTATCATCCGCGGCGACTTCAACGCACCAGCACCTATTTTGGGTAGTGATCATCACTTGTCTTCGTTATTAGGATCCTTCAATCTCACTCCACACGTCAGCTCCTCTACATATATACATGGCAATTTGTTGGACCTTGTAATCACTCATGCCAATAACAACTTTGTAGATAACCTAACTGTCAATGATTGCGTTTTTCAGATCACAACATTGTGTGCTTCCACTCAACGCTCTTCAAAACCCCATCGACAATCATTCATAACTGCTGTCGCAACTTTCGTCGTTTAAATTACGTCATTCGAAAATGATTTAAACAGCAGTTGATGATTTGCTTTCACAAGATTTGGAGGTCGACGAGTTAGCGTCAGCTTTAAACACAACTTTAAATGACATTGTCAACAAATACGCACCAATCAAGCATTACTCGTTTCATGATAGCTCCACCCTCGTTGTTTTTTGTCCAAAGAAGTAAAAGCTGCTAAAAATAATTTGTCGTCGTATGCAGCGTCACTACAAACATGAAAAATCAGCGCTCAATTTCGTCAACTACAAGAATGCTAAACGTGTTGCTCGTGAGGCCATTATAAGGTTTAGGATCAATTCTATTAAGAATTTTCTCAACAACTGCAGCAACTCTCGTGTTCTCTGGCATTCTCTAAACAATATTTTTTACAAATGCTCAGATCATCATTTTTCTTCTTTCTGCTAGCTTTTTCAAGGACAAAACAAATTATATTTATCAATCTTTTGCTACAACAATTGCTTCTTCCAACATTCTTTCTTTAAACCATAGACCTCTTTCTTCCTCTCCCTTTTCTTCTTTTTCAGTTGTCACATCAAAAAAAGTTCTAAAGCTCATCAACTCTTTGCCAAACAAAACATCTCCACCTGACATTATTCCAGTTTTTATTCTTAAAAACTTTATCTTTTTGCTCCATTACTTTCTAAGCTTTGCAATCTTTCTCTAGAAAATAGCATTTTTCCAACTTCTTTTAAGATAGCTCAAACTCTATCATTGCTGAAAAAATCTGACCTTGATCCATCTGACCTTTCTAATTACCGTCCTATTTCCAATCTTTCAACTTTCTCTAAATTACTTGAACGAATTGTTTTGGACAGGATTCTCACTCATATTACTTCATCTCCTAATTTCTCTCCTTTTCAATCCGCTTACAGAAAATGTTATTCTACAGAAACAGCTTTCCTTCAGGTTCACGACCAACTTGCTAACATATGTGGAAACCAAAATTGTGCTGTCATGGTCATCCTGCATCTTTCACCAGCTTTTGACACCATTAATCATCAGATGCTTATTGACAGACTTGAGGCAAAATATGGCTTATCTTGGTTTCAATCTTATCCTTCTAATCGTTCTCAATATATTAAACTTGGCTCCCACTTTTCTTCTAGCTTCACCTTATCTACTGGAGTTCCCCAAGGCTTTGTCCCTGGTCCCATTGTTTTCACTACTTATACCTCTTATTTCTGATATCATTAACACTTTTAGCTTACTCTTTCATCAATACGCTGATGATACATGTATAAAAGCTAAAATTCCCACCTCTAATCATATATCTCAGCTTGACAACTTAAGAGCATGTATTATGGCCATAAATAATAGCATTTATCAAACTTTTTTTTAGCTGAATCTCCACAAATTTGGAGTAATGTTTTTTGGTGCTCCGCATCATATTTTTATTTTTCTCACTGAAAATATTATTTCTTCTCTGGCTTGATGTTTTGTAATTCTCTTCTCTACGGTCTTTTTTCTTACCTTTTAACTTTACTTGAAAGAGTTCAAAATAGAATTGCAAAAGTTGTTTTAAATATCAGTAATTTATCTTCCAGCACAGATTCACTCATTCAACTACATTGGTTACCAGTACGTCAACGCATTATATTTAAACTTGCCGTCCTCACGTACAAGTTACTTAATACATCTCAACCATCATATCTTCATCAACTTATATCGCGTCGTTCATCAACTCGTCAACATCGTTCGTCTTCATATACTCAGTTGCATCAACTTGTCAGCAATTCAACAATTCAATGTTTATATATAAATATTATATATATATATATATATTTTATATATGTATTATCTATATATATATATATTGTTGTTAATATACCATACCATATATATATATATATATATATTATTATTATTCGAAAATTTGTATAGCGCTAATTACAAACAAAATGTTTCTCAAAAGCACTATCTAAAAAAACAATAGAATTGCTACGATAAACCAAATTTTATAATGAAAACAAAAATGATTTCAATAATTTCTTGAACGATTTTTCTGTCAATTCGGGCTGTCTTAGATAACTTGGTAGACTATTCCAAACGGCTGGTCCATTTACTGAGAAACTTCTTTCCGCCATTTTCAAGTTGGTTTGGGGCACTCATTACAAGTTGCTATCATCAGACCTTAAGCAGACAGTTTTAAAAGACATTTGTTTCGGTGCATGCATTTCTTTCAAATAAACTAGCACTATTCCCTTCGTACATTTGACCATGATTGTTGATATTTTGAACAAAATTCTTTTTTTGACAATCAACCAGTGCAGTTCTCTGAATATCGGGGTAACATGGTTAAACTTTTTTGCACCAACCACGATCTTAGCTGCCCGATTCCGAATTGACTGAAGCATAGATAACGATTTTTCAGGCAAACCATAAAATAGGCTGTTGCAGTAATCCAGTCTAGAATGAATAAACAAATGCACTTAACTTTGAATAACATCATTGTTTAAGCATTTGTGGATTATTTTTAATTTTCGCAGTTGTATGGTTGCAGTACCAGATAAAAACTTGATATGTTCAGTCATTGCCAGCCTAGAATTAAAAATTACACCCAAGTAATTTTTAAGCTTTGGGAATGAAGTTTATATTTGAGTCCTCAATGATAACTGAATTAATTTTAATTCTAGACAGCTGTTGCCAAGTTCCAACCAGAAGAACTTGCGTCTTGCTTTGATTAAGCTTAAGACGATTATTTGCCATCCATTTCTCGATCTCGACCAAACATTTAACAAAACGATCGACTGCAAGACGAAAGTCGCTAGACGATTCTGTGGCGAATAGCTAAATATCATCTGCAAATGCATGACACTCCAAACCATGTAATCTGATTGCCTCAATAATTTCAGAGGTGTAAAGAATAAACAAGATCGGTCCGAGAACCGAGCCCTGTGGAACACCAAATCTTATCGTTTGAACCGAAGAGGTCTTATTCTTGTAGATTACCTGCTGAGTTCTGTCTGTTAAGTACGACCGAAACCATTGTTCAACAGAACCAGTTATTCCAAATCTATGATTAAGACGTTTCAGAAGAATGCAATGGTCGACACAGTCAAATGCCGAACTCATATCTAAGAATCCAAGAAGAGATGGTTTGCTGTCGTTTATATTTTTATGCAACTTAGATAACACATGCAACAAAGCAGTTTCGGTAGAATGATGTCTTCTATAACCTGACTGATATACCGGTAACAAATTGTTTTTATCTAAGTGTTTCATAAGCTCCTTAGAAACTAATCTTTCAATTAATTTTGACAAGAACGACAGATTTGAAACCGGTCTATAATTATTAAGATCAGAATTTTCTAATTTTTCCTTTTTCAAAAGAGGAGAAATTGTAGCATGCTTTAATTTTTCCTTTTTCAAAAGAGGAGAAATTGTAGCATGCTTTAACATAGCCGGAAACTCGCCAATACGTAAACTTAAGTTTATAAAATCAGTCAAATATTTTGAAAACAATCCTACATATTTTTTGAAAAAGTGTGAAGGAACACAATCCAGTGAACATGTTTTAGATGGAGAGTTCAAAACTGCTCCAACAATTTCGCTTTCATCATAAACAAGAAAAACTGAAAACCAGTTGCTGCAGCAGACTCCAGATGAATGATTAAACTTCTCATCATATACCATCGATTCTCGTACATTTTTAATTTTGTCATAAAAGAATGTAGCAAAATCGTACGCTTCAAAGTTGGTAGATGAATTTGAAGTTTTTTCCTTGCACAACAGTTTATTTACCTCAGTCCAAATTATTTTATGATTTCTGTTATTTTCAAAAATGATTTTTTTCCAAAACCAATTTTTTTCTGGGCGAATAAAATTTTTTTGATCGCAGAGCATTTTTCCACACCTCCCTATCATAACATATATTGTTGGTAATAGACCATAATTTTTACAATATTCTATAAATTCTACCGAATGTTTGGCGTTAATATGTTTGTAGTTCGTTTTTTCGATTTTCAAACTAAAGTTTTTTGGAGAAGGTTTATTTTATTAAAATTCAAAATAAACTTATTTTCCGAATTCATGCTGCAAATAAGGTCATATTTCGATCCCGAATGAATCATCATCAGAGCAATTTAGTTTATATAAGAAAATATTCAAACAAAAATTGACAACCTCACTCCCAACCCGGCGCTTAATCGACAATTTTTTTTTCCAGAATTTTATTCGAAAAGAAACAAGAGATCATATATACGAAAGCATGTGCTGACCACCTTAACTAGTTGTGCAACAATATGAGATACAAATATAAACATTTTTAGTATATCGATAAATATAAATACACCCAATAAATCCATTTTTATAACTTAAAGTAAGGAGGTTAAATATTCAATCAGATGTAAAACAAATAAATAAAACACGACAAAATTAAACAAAGAAAGCATCATACCTACATTGATCTGCATAAGTTTTCTATATATTTTTTAAATTCATTATATCCGGAAAATTTTTTCTTACCTAGTTCCAAGGAATTCCAAAGACGAATTCCTCTTACCGCCCAGTATCTAGCATTTAAATCAGTTCTGCAAGTCATTGGTATCAACAAACGTTTTTGCCTAGTGTTTGTTGACACCGTTTCAAATGAGCATCATATAACACTCTATAAACGAAACACAAGGTTAGATACCTATTAAGCTGTTCAATACTGAGGATACTATTATCGGAATATATTGCCAGTGTATGATCAAGGTGTTTCAGAAAAAAACAAACCCTAAGGTATCTTTTTTGTACTATTGTCAATGATTTTATTAAATAATCATAAGAAGCTCCCCAAAAAACATTTCCATATAGGAGATATGGATAGATTAGGGAGTAATATAGCATTAACATGATTTTAGTACCTAATTTATTGCGTGATTTATAAATAATGCCAGTAATTTTATATAATTTGCTTACCAACGAATTTATATGCTCATTCCATTTCAAGTCAGACTCGATAATAATTCCCAGAAATTTAGCTGACGAGTTTCTGGATATCACTGAGTCACCTATGTGAATGGTTAGGCCAGAGAAGATATCATTGTTCGTTTTGATTTTAGGGCCAAAGACTAAATAGCAGAATTTTTTTGAATTCAGAACCAACCTGTTTCCAGTGGACCAGTTGGAGAATTTAACCAGTTGGTTATTCATTTCAGAAAATAGTCTTATCGGGTCTTCGTCAGACAAGAATATAGTCGTGTCATCAGCAAATAAAATAGTGGTACACACATTTGATATTAAAAAAATATCATTTATAAACAGAATAAACAAAAGCGGTCCCAAGATTGAACCCTGGGGAACTCCAGAAACTAATTCCTTGGGCAACGATTCAACACCTTCAATACAAACATATTGACACCGATTGTATAGGTAAGACTTGAGCCAGCTCAGTACTATACCTCGAAAACCATACTTAGACAGTTTATACAATAAAATATTGTGGTCAATTAAATTGAATGCCTTGCTTAGATCTATAAAAACGCCTAAGCTAAGCTTCCTTGAATTATAATTATTTATGAGAGTCCCATACAGCATAGCAATAGCCTTCTCAGTTGATGACTTGGGAACGAAGCCAAATTGATTTCCATTAATCATGCTGTGTTTAGATATGTAAGACCACATTCTATCAAACATTAGTTTTTCAAAAATTTTTNGAAATACTGATAGAATCGATATGGATCTGTAGTTG